TGCAATTTTAAAATGCAAAGATAACTTTATCGAACTTTACCTCAAAATACATGATGTTTAAACACAGACTTCTAATTTCATGCAGGCAATGAGCATGCACAAAGTCCTCCAGGTGCCCTTCAAACAGAAAACCTCCCATTTTTAAGTGACCTGTCAGTCACACCCTTGCCATCAGATTGGGTCAGTCTGGTGACAAAAGACTACTTTAAAATAGATCTGAGAAACTTAACTGCTATTTCCAAAAGAAATGCTTAGTATTACCTTGGGCTCCAAATAGAGGGCTATAACTCAATTATACCTATTGACCTAGAGGACAGGGAAGAGAAGGGCTGCACACTGAGACCCTCCGGACCTTCCAAATGCTGGATTATCCAGCACTCACTTACCATGCTCTAAACTACTCCCTCATGTCCTAATAGGGGCATGAAAAGATGATACTTTTGAAGCAAGTCAGAGTACAAACAAGACAAACAAAGACACAAAAGCAATACACATACACCAAAGAAAATCATCCATAATGAGAATAAATAGAACTGGAAACCTATAAATAGTTATTAGTATTTCAGAGAAATCAAAGTTTGTTGTGAAATACATCAAATTTATGTGAGAAAGGCTGGTTTTCTTTTTTGAAAACCTGACTTATCTGTATATGTGAACGATGAAGGCCCTGGCTATGAAGCCTGACCCCTCTCAGTACCATACAGCTTTACTCGCTCAAATATTCTATGCCTCAGTCTCCCATCTGCACATGAGGACAAAAGTCTATGCACTGCACTAAGTGAAAATTAATGAAGAACTTTTATTTCAACTATTATTAAGATAGGATGCTTGACACAGCAGACTAATACATTAAAAAGAAATTTTTTCAACACCTTTTTTATAGTGCTGGGGAGTGATCAATACTTATTTTTGATAAATGAATGTGTATAAATTTCATAGGCTGGTCTCAAGTGAAATACGATATATGAGCATTGATACTGGATATTCTCTTGAAAGAATGTGGTTATTAACATTTATTAAAAATTTTGAAAAACATGCCATTTTAGTCCAAACATTATAAAAAATAGTTTTTTGTAGATAAACACTTCTATAACATAGTAGGATTTTTAAATCAGAGTTGCAATACACACTGAAATGCAACTGAGTACTTAAGCTTATTAAATGCCTATGAAAATTACTCCCAAGCTTCAGGCAAGCAACCTAGGTGAATGTTAAGCTTCAGGAGGACAGGGCAGTTTCTTTTCTTATCTGTTTTGCCAGCAGCTAATGAAATGAATTAGAAAATGACCCACTGCTTTGAAAAATACTAAACTTGACGTGTATGTGTGTATACTATGAGCATGTCTGCACACATATATACACACGTGTGGTAAAAGAGGGGAGATAAAAATGTACATAGCAGGTTAACATCTCTCAGGAACATCCGACCTAAACATTTTTAGAAAGGAAACATTAGACTGAGAGAAACAATAGTTGACCTTTTACTTGTGGTACTTTTAACAAACAAAATAATCTGTCCCTGTATCATAATGTATATATTTATCCAATGTTTAAATTTAATTTCTAAAACTCTAGAGGAAACTAGTGTCAAAATTTAATGTTTTATTGTAAATCAGTGTTTACTTCTGTAACTCCCAGCTTACCTGCTAAATCCATAACTCTTAATGCTTCATGACTATAGCTTTCTTATCCCCAAATCAGACTCTCTTCACCTATTCAGATGCTGTTCAGAATGCAACATCCAACTTATCTAACCACATCCACTGAAAAAAGCAAAAGCAACAAAACACCCAACCTCAGATCTACAATGAGCTAAGCATTTTTTTATGTCTTAGAACATTTTACAAAAATAAACAAACATGTGATACACAGAACTTAATAAACATGCGTCAATCTATTTGGGCAGATTTATGATAGGAAAGTAATAACAGAAATAAAGGAATGAGTTGTAAATCAAACCACATACCCACTTACGGAATTTCTGCAGCTGGAAAAAAACCTTGCAAGTATTATCAGAGAACACATCATTACACCAAAACCTAAGTACCCACCATAAAATCAACACCTACTTTAAGATTTACCATTGGGCAAGGACACAGACTTAGCAAATGTTTTTGCTAAGACTTTTGAGACAGTCATTAACCAATACCTTGACTTTAATCTCTAGAGACACTAGCTTCTTCATTAGTGAAAGGAGGAGCTGGAGAAAGATACTCCCTTCTAATTGTAAGAATCCAAATCCAACTAGACATTTGCTTAGCAAGTATTGGACAATCCTCCTAAGAGTGCTGGAAGCAGTGCCTGTCAAGCACTCCAGGCAAATTTCTGGTGGTTTCCCAATCCTTTTCCCTCCTACCTCTATTCAAAGGAGTCTCTGAGTCCATAGCATAGACTTTCTGCTCATACACTATTTAGGGACCCTCAGTCATTCTTGCTAGAGGAATATTTTATCACATTAAACAAAACAAACCCTTAATATACAGTAAAATGTTTGTATTATACGTTTAAAGTTCTCACATGAATGAATCGAAAAATTCCACAGATGAAGTAAAACTTTAACACAGCATTTCTTGGTTTTAGGCTCCATTTTATGTGTAAATAAAGCATAACTTATTTGTTAGGCATTCTTCACCACAACATCTCTATCATCAACTCTCCAACACAGGAGAAACAAAAGGCAGTTCTGTCAAACTCGGCATACATTTTGGGTGTAGAAGTTAGGAAGTCTTTATCTCTCATCTTTATTAACTTTAGAAAGAAAAAAATAATGGAGAAACAAATGGAAAATAGTTCGTAGTGAAAACATTCTGAGTATCAGATTCATGGACTCAATCTAGAGAAAGAAACAGATGATACAGCAAAAGATAAAATAAGTCCTTCATTTAGAGAAGTTAACTTTTTCAAAATATTAAATTCATTTCAAATAATTGCTGCCACTGCTAAAACATGCCCATTTTTCCAAAACATATTTTTAAAGAAAGGAAGATTATAATTATAACTCATGTTGAAATTATAGCCTAGTATGGTGGGGTCTTCAGCTATCAGGCCATGTATTCTACTAAAGACCTCTCTATAGAAATGTACCACTGTATGACTCCAAAACCAAGTCCCAAATTTCATTTTGTCATTCTGTTTAATGTTATAATAGTCTGTATTCAATTCATTTTCCACAACAACATTAAGTAATTCACCATTACATTTATAAACTACAGTGAAATGCAGTTTATTGGCTGAATGCTGATGCCATTTAGCAAGTACTTCTCACTGACTTTATTAATAAATATTTGTACTAGCTTCCTCTTCTCCAGCCCATAGTAAATGCCTTGTCAGTCTAAACTTACTTGCAGAATCAATGGGACATCTGATAACATGAAGATACATGAGATTCCTATACTGGGTGTTTATGTTTTAACTCTGAACAGAAAAAAAAAAAAAAGTTTGGTTCTAGGTCATTTAAACCTTTCACATGCTAATAATCAAGTAACATGCTATCTGAAGTTGTCTGCAAAACAAAGTCCCAGAAGTAAGTCACCCTATTTGATTGTGCTATCCTATTACTTAACTGTGTTTAATTAATCTAAATTTTACTAGATGGTTATAAATTCGTATCCTCTCTTATTACAAGGGTGAGTGGGAAGATAAGAGATCAGCTTCAAGTGTAAAAAAATTGACCAAAAAGTTTGCTCTAATTTGCAAGAAATTGATACTTGACAATACAGAGAATATTTACTCTGTGGCCACAGCTTAATTTAGGATTTGCTCCATTTCTAAAATTTCTAACAGTCTTGCAAAGCTGCAGGACTATAAGGTAGCAAAACTGAAAGGGATGGAGACTCCATGAAACAGCAGTGTTAACAGACTTCCTTCTAAAGGTACCTGGTAATCTTCATTAGCCTTACAGTAAGAATACAACAGCAAGTATCTACTACTTAGAATATAAAAGAAACACTCTTAGACTATCCTCAATTGCAGAAATGCTTACAGCAGTCATACGATTCAAGTTCAAATGACTGGTAAGGGACTGTTATTCAAGAATTACATTATAAACTTGAATTAATAAAAACTTTAAAAAATGAGTAAAAACCTAATCAGCCCAACACTTCAATTATATGTATCATGAATGACCTAAACATGAGCATAGTGGGTCAGTATCCTAACACATTCCATGACGACCACACAAAGCAGACTATTATGAGCATGATGACAGCATCCTGTTTCTTTCTTTCTTATTTGAAACCAGCCGAGCATTAAAAAAAAATGACATTTGGTTTTAAATTTGGAAACAATGAAGAGTTTCTGTTGGCCTTCATCAAATTTCATTCCAAAAAATGAGTACAATAATAATAAATCTGTCTCATTTCAAAAATCCTTAATGACATAACAGACATCTCAGATGAAAATGAAGTAGGATTCCACTTTTTAAATGTGAAGCAACACTACAAAACTGGTTATAAGATCCTAATGAGCAGTGACTATGAACCTTTTGATCGAGGAAGGACTATGTATAAAATATTTATGTAATTAATAATTATTTTTACTAGTCACTTTCTTCTCGAAGTTTTGTAATGAAGAATCCTGTAACAGTGCTGTTATTTCATTCAGATAACACGCTGAAGTTTTGCACGTGAACACTGACATTGTACTTCCCAATCGCCAAAGCGCTAGGGAAGTGGTGCCACTCCCACTCTTCCCTGAAGAGGGCACTCAGGAGAATTTAACCACCATGCTCAGTGCACTCAGAAGATGAATCTTAAAAAAAAAGTAGCCTGTGCAGACTCCTGTCTCCAGCTGTTTTTCTTATAAACAGTCCTGGGTGTTTTCCCCCAAAGGAGAAAAAGTGTAAAGGCTCTGTTCAGGCTGAATCAGGCATTTTAAAAAGGTCACCAGTGGTCAAGTCACTCTGCATTTTTAGCAAACTCTTGCTTCAGATACCAGTTGCTTTAAACAAGGGATCCCCGTCACATGATATCTTATGATTTATGACATGCTATGCTGAGTACCTGTGAAAGGGGGCACTCCTTGGCCAACGAACTCTGATTCATATCTTTCAGTAAGTCCTTCAGAGCATTCCTTACTGTGGTGTGAGACCATTGTTCGGGAGGTAAGTCTTCTAGTTTGGGGCAACTATTTGAGACATAGATTAGAAAGGGGATTATTACAAGATTGCATCCCGCTGCAGAACATTCCTTTAAGACAGACAGATTTCATTTTGCGCATCAAACAGATGCATCTGGAGATTGCTCTCGGTCTCCTGATTGTTCCGATTAGTTAATTACTTTATACAACACATCTGCTGTATCGATGCATGAATTATACATCAGCTGCCTGTGGTGGCTATTTTTTCATGTTACTTCTACCTTCCTGCTCTGATGCGCTTGGGAAGACAATTTAAGGTGTACTGCTTTCTCACGAGCTATCATGAAAAAAGCATTAACGTATTAACTGAGTTCCCTTCATTACTCCGTTCATACGAATAAAAATGGTAAAAAAAAATATAGATATATAAATAATTAAGACCACAGCAACAGCAAATAAGGCATTCGTTCACAAAATGTACACAGATGGCACCGTTCATGATATGCAAAAATATTTTTTTCTTAAGTAAACTTTATGTAAAATGCCATCTTGTAATGCATCATTTAATTGACGAAATGTAAAAAGTCTTATCTTCTGATAAGCTGCAAAAACCTAAAAATTTGGGTGTGAGGTTTGATTTTAAATAATACATTGAAGTTGGGGAATAAAAAGCAAAAGGGGTAAGGTAACAAAATCTACTTAGATTAACCTTTCTCAAAGACAGGGTAAATAGAAACAGCAGCTTGACCAAAAAATGCTTTACTTCAAAAGCCCAGGTGAGGAGGATGGCTCACCCTACAATGGCTGCCTTGACTCACCTGTGTAACTGGATTTTCAGTGTGACCACGTGATAGACGTCCTGGAGCATATCTGCTACAGTAGCATCAGGAGCATCTGTCACATAGGACAGCGGGACTGGGTTCCACTTTCCAACCTGGATTAGCCCTATCCAGATAAAGAGAATACATCACTGAATATTTTACTCTTAGATAATGTATCTAGCAGAAGGTGGCTGTTCTTCTCTTTTTCACTGCCCCCAGCCACAAGCAATATTGTTATTTCTGTCTGAAGGAGTCCCTTCCCTCTAAAGGCAGGTCAATGAAAATATTCACAGTTTAGCTTTCCAAATTGTGAAATTATGTAAATGACTAGAGGGTTGTTTATTATTTTGGAAATAAAACCCCATCAATAAATCCTATGCATAAGGCCACATTTTCCTAACTTACAGAAAGTTCTAATAAGACATAGCCAAACCAGTTCTAAATGGCTTTACGATTTAGATAAGATTTTCTATTGCAGTGGGAATCAGCATTGAAAAATACTTTACAGCCCATAAAACCATCAGAAACAGAATAAAAGAAACAGAACTAGATATTCAGTCATAAATGCAAATTGACTCTCAACAGTCCATCTGCTCAAATACGCTCCTCACTTCCTTGTGGGTCCTCAGTGGAGCAGATTATTAAGGTCAATAAGCATACTAATGATTCAGCTGAAGTAATTTAAAAAAAAATCTACCTCGACATTCCACATGAGCAAAATGTGTGTTAACTAAACCAAACTGAATTAAGCCAATTTTTTAAAGCCACAGTCTATAAGGAACCGATGTAAAACATGGGCTACAGTTCTTTGAATAAAAACATTCACTGCTTTCCCTGTGAGGTAAACAAAAGGATGCCAAGCAATTTTTTTCCAACCCCACGTATGCATTATTTACCTTTGGCCTGGGCAGCAGAGCTATGTGAATAACCCAAGGACAGCAGTGCCATTTCAATCAGTTGGTTGAAAAGCATATCCTTCCTCACCAACACAAACTCCGCATGTTCCTCCTTACAATCATACTCAATGGCGTTTTCATAATGTTCTACCACGCAGAAAACTGGTAGCATCGTTCCTATCAAAAAGACGGAGAAAAAGACACAGAAAACCAACAGTCCTCAGAAAGACAGTCTGGAGGGGAGGAAAAGCTAACCTATGAAAATAAATCTGCACTACAGTGAGAGGAGAGGCTGTGCTTCCAAGGCAGACTGGGTACAGAAATACAGGCATGCACACGCGCGCACACACACACACAAACATATACAATCTTTTATTTCTTTAAAGTTGTAAGGGCAATATTTAAATAGCATGTGAACTTGGGCCTAAGATATCATAGGCAGTCCTCTAATTTTAACAGTCTGTTTTCAAAAGCAATGAATGCAGAACTACCTTTTCAAGCAAATAATAATGCTGACGAGAGATAAATAAGTGTGTCCTATCTGATTTGCTGTAAGGAGTACACAGAATGCAAACAGAACTCACTGCTGTGTCTTTAGAAGAACCCACCTTCCCCTGCCCACATGCTTCTGTTCATAATAAACTCTTCCTGTTTGTGTCCAAACAAATTATCTTTGACTATGAAATTATTATTTTCTTTCTTTCTTGGATATTTACCCTAACAGGTTCCATAAAAGAAACACAACTTAACCAAACTGATGCCCATGACACAATTTCAATATGAACATGATGTAGACAAGGAGCATTTATTTTGTGACTACTCATTTAATCCACCCGACTAAAAAGAGACCACAGTAGTCAGTCTTTAAAATGAACAATCTCTGTTAGAATAAATATGATAAAAATGACAGAGAGAAAAGAAAACTGGCCCCCTCAGGGTATGTTAGGATCAAGAAATCTGCATGGATTCACTGTGTTCTCATTTGCTTTCCTTTAATCCAGTGAAATAACTCAGTAGCCAGATGATAAATAAGTGCAGGTCACACCACTTCATCTAAAAATGCAATCATTGTCTGCTGTGGCACTCAAGGTGTTTACGAGGTGCACTGTCAGACTTCAAATGAGAACAGAAAAAGGGTTAAAAACAGATACATCTGTACTGCACTGTGGCAAACTGCCAGGAAGGTATCATCTTTAGCATAAATGATGACAAGGGTTACTCTAACAGGGCACCCAGGATCCTCAATTAGTCCGATATTCATGCCTGTATCAACTCTGTCCTCTGGACTTGCAGGATCCTAACAACTTCTGAAGATGTCAAGTGTATACCAGCCATCATTGAAATCAGGATTTCCTACTGACACCACAGAGGCCCTTTATAAATTCTTGATTTTCTTGTTTCTATTGAACAAAAGCTGGCAATAAAACATCAACATTTTTCCACATGTGTGTCTTCACCAAAGCTTTAGTGAACTGTGCACAAGCGATTCTAGCTCTGACAAATAAACCCCTTTAGGTTTACTTAGAAAAGCTCACAAACTCATTCAGAAGTACCAACAGGCTAGGCATGAAAAACAAGTCACAGAGCTTGCCAATATTCTTGTCATTCATTCAGCTGTTTTATACCAGAGAGAGAACCCGTCAGGGATCAGAAGACGACTTGGGGAGACCACAGCAAAAACAGCAACATGCAAACTGGTGATTTTTTCCTTGGCTTGAAGGTATTTTGGCAAAATCTCCTAAACAAATAAAAACATTCAACCCCTTTTTCTAGTAGTGCTTTCTCAGCTCAGCCACAATTTCTATCTAGCACCTGTCAAACAGAAGCCATACACTTGAAAAATAAGCTGGGAAACAAAAAAAAAAAAAAAAAAAAAAAGAAACCACCAAAAGGTTCTAATAATTTTGTTATTTGGATTAAGCAGAAACTCTTCTACAATTAAACTGCATTTTAAAATAAGTCATTATGAATATTTTCAACAATCATTTGAACAGGAAGTGAAATTACTATACTTTGGTTCCTCCTCCCCTGTATTGATGTCTTCAAAGAGCTGGGTTAGTACGACAAAAACATACACATTGGGTTTTCTTCTCTTATGAGATTGTAGCAGATGCATTCTACTATAGGCTTCTTCCCAGACCTATAACTATTGGCAGTATACTAGATTTACTTTATATTTTATTGAGCCAGTTTAGAAGTGCCTTATAGACCAGAAAGGTGGCTACAGATAAAGCAACAATAGTATCATCAAACTGCAAATTCAGCTGCTAAATTACCTATCCAACTGTCCTGGTTGCTCTCCTGTTACTGGGAGCCTTCTCTGAACTGACTGATTACTTGTGCTAATGTCTGGTGAGACTTCCAACTACAGCAACTTCATAACCTTCCAGCATTAGAAAAGGGGAGAGCACTGGTCACTGCTGAATGCTAAAAATACCACATGATTTAAACCTGAAGGCAGTCTCAGAAGCTTTTGCTGAAGGTTTATGAGCCTGTGTAAACAGAACGTCTGCCATAAGGAGCAGTGAAGTCTGTAGAATCCTTGTCTAAAACTGTCCTGGCATTAAAGTTTGCTGTGCAAATATCACATAATACCAGAGACAGCTGAAATCTCCTATTTAGGAATTTATGGAACTTATATGTTTGCAGGCGTCAGAAAGTCTTTTTTATAGAGCTCTAGTGCTTCACAGTACAATATTAATGTACTCTGTTTGAAAAGCCGTAATAAATTATATTTTTAATGCTCTTACCCTGGCTTTCTTAAGATGCATACATTCTTGGCAAACAATCAATAAATAGGGTAATCATGAGTAGAGGCCAAAGAATTTGCTGAAGTGCTGTTTTTCCATTTTTAATAGATAAAGATCTAACAATACGGACTGCTGTGTCTGTTCATTTCAGGATCAATATATTCTTTGTTTTCGCCAAACCAAGGAAAAAATAAATGATTGTATGATAAATGTTATGCATCAAACACAATGAAATTCCTATGCCTTCTAACTTTATCTACTTAATATTCTTGGCTGCTAAAAGATGGCATTTTTATCCTTTGCTTAGCAAATGTACAGAAAATCTGATTCCTATACACGTTATTCACAGACAAAATGAGACCCTTATGAGGCACACACATTACACTCAGTATAGGCGCTGCCAGACACAAACAACAATGTCTAACAGTCAAAGTTGTTAAACCTCATCAATTTAATATCGGCAGTAAAAGAGTCATTCAGTTACACATCTTCCTCCCTTTATAAACTTGCCTAAATCTGCCCTTCCTCTACCAAAAATATCCAATACAGCAAAAATTAAGAAACTGGAATCATCAGGTTTTTCACTGCTAAATAACGAATTTGCTCTTCAAAAATAAACCACAAAAAAATGACATCACAAAACTTTTATAGTAAGATTTCAATGACCTCTGAAATTGCCTTATGTCTAGGAATCTTATGAAAAAAAGCTAAGGAGGTTCTCAAACAATCTAAGTGTCTTCTTAAGCAACAATCACCTACATATTCTTTATTATAATAACGCCTTAAGAATGGACCCTTGCCCAAACTGAGACCATTACACTTAATTCAGTCCTGATCATCCAAAAAGTCCAATGCTTCCAATCTTTATAGTAGAGTAAGATGCTCCCCCCTCAAAAACAGAGCCCACACTTTCTAAGCATGATTGACACTCTAACTCAGAATGTAACTAATTTCAGATCAGAAAGAGAATCCAGGAAAAGAATATACAAAGCTTGTTCTACTCCTCCACCCCCGCACAACATGGCCTTGGTAGACATCTCTGCTTGTAGCTTTCCAGGATTTGGTTTCAAAGTATTTACCTTTCCTAAGGTTGGTCTTCATCAAATGGCTCGAGTGTTTTAAAGGCACTCCCTGCATTTTTGCACCTGTACTCCCAAGCCTTCCTCTTCCTAGTGGGCTCCCGTTCTGCTCCAGGCGGGCAATCTTGGCTGGTGGACCCTTCGGATCGTTCACATTGTTAGACATTTCTGAATGTTCTTTCCCCTGAGTTGCCTCGTTCAAATGATCCATACTCAGTCACTGTCTAAAGATCACCTGCCAGAATGTAAAACGAAGACATGTTACAATGTGGGGGGGAGGGTCTATACCTATCTATGTGTCCTATATAAATGTTTTACCTCCACACAGTTCCCTCCACAAATATATTTTCCTAATTACTTACCTATATAGAGAATAGATATTATATTTCTATTCAAATCAACAGAATAATTTGTGGAAACTACCAACGCACATAAATAAGAGGGTAATTTGTCATCTACAAACAAAACTAAGTGGAGGAAAATTGGCTTACTTTTAGAGCAAGAATAGACACAAGTTAAAAAGAAAATAACAAATTATATTTTGTAGTCCCAAATTTTTAAAAAATTGCTGTTACAGACTACAAGAGCAACACATTAATAAAAGATGGAGAGTATCGCAATTCAAAATATTAAATTTAATGTATGTGCTTATATTTTAATTTTATGAAATATATATACCATCTAAAAAAAGAACAGTCATCTTAAGTGCCTTTTAAACTTCCCATTCCTCTCACAAGCTCACGCATAGAAAAAAGTTTTCTTCTATCTAAGTTTCAACAGTTACGTGACCTGTTAAAGATCTAGTCAAGCCTTGGGTCAAACATGTGACTGGATCATTTTGCCCCTAAGCAAACAGGAAGAAGTGGAGGGTTTCTTCAACTATTCCAGGTACTGAAGCATTACAACTTGTCTTTTACAGTCAGTATTTAGGTGTCCGTTGCCAAAAGAATGCTCTTCATTCAAACAGCAAAAAAACTTGAAAGTACTTTGTGATAAACACAATAAATTGAAGTGCCAAGTTCACTTCCTAAAGAAAAAATGATATAGATAAAATATAATCTCCAGTATTCAAAAATAATCTCAGTATAGAAAAATAGTTACATCATAATTAATTTAAAAAAACCAACTAATGATTTTCACCTATATATTAGACTTCAGTTTTCATGCTGCTTATGATAAAGCAATTAGCATAACTATCAATGCCACTTCTAACTAGAATTATAAGAATAGGTGAGTAGAATTATTTTATGAACTTTGGATTTGAAATATTGAATATTTATCAGCACTAAGGGAACATACTTAGGAAGACAAGATAGAAAATAAACTACCACTTTCTTCCAGCTGTCTAGCAATTTGACATATCTTATATATTTTTTTAAGTTATCATACCAAAACTATTTAGGTCTGGATTTGTTGAAAGTCAGTTTGTATTAGCCTGGCTTTGCTGTAAACATTCTTTCCCTCTGTTTAACTATAGACTATTTCGTTCCACATAAGCAGGAGGGGTGAGGGTAATCTGGAGGTTTAAAAGCAACCTTAAGAATGCTAATCGAAGAACCATAAAGTTTGAGAAATAATAATGGCTATTTATCTTTGTACTCTAGGGTGGCATGCTGAGAACTAAAGGTTTACCATTGATCGAGGTCCCATCTGTTTTTGGTTATGAGGTTCATTAACAATAAATGTGCCTTTTTAAACCACTTTTTATCAAGATTACTCTTTTCCATTATATTAAGTTGCAGTCTAAAACCAAAATGAGAGTGATGACTATTAACTTATTCAAAACACTCTATAATGTTTCATGTGGATTATAATGCAGAGCTGCTGTTTCCAAAATTGGTTACTTTACCCTAGAGCAGAAGACAAATTTTAAAACATGATTGGAAAAGAAAAATTTTAACCCTTAAGGCAACTTATGAAAAAAAAGGGAGAAAAGTAGACAACAGCATCAAAGTTAATGCTACCAAGCATATTAAGTAATCATGAGGCTTAACAGCATTGTAAGCTGTACCGCAAATGAAAGTGATAGATTATAATTTAGTTAATGTATTGACAATCAAAACATCATATAGGTCATGCAAAATGGTCCTTTGAATACTCACCTAAAGCATCTATTAAACAATAAGTCAACCAGTAAAAAGCTTTACATTATAAAGCAAAATTACATGCACATAAAACACCCAATTTGTTTCTTTAAACTCTATGCCCAAGGCTAAGGTTCACCAGACCTCAATTTAGAATGGAAAGAGCAACCTCCAACAGGCCACAGCACTGGGAACTAACTATGGTGTCGACAGATGAAGAGTTTCTTTTGAGTACTCATTGTAAAGCCCATTTTACTGTAACGTCTAGTTGGACACAGAGAACAGGCTACTTTCTCAAAAGCCCGTTTTACCTGCCCATGAACTGAGACCACATATGATAGTTAATGAAAGTGAACTTGGGTCTCAGCAATATACTTCCTTTAAAAAGAAAGAATAAAAGCACGAAATTTCGGTTTCAAGAAACTATAGATACATATTTTTTTTATCCTGGGATCCTTTTCAATGAGTTCCTTGCTGGATGGCCTCCCTGGCCCCCACAGAACCCCATAGTCACATTTTAAGAGATTGTGTCCTTATCCATTCCATATGGCCGGCATGATCCAGGCCAAGCTTTCACTGTGACCTTTTAAAGAGACAAAGAAGCAAAGTACTATCTAGAAACAGAAACACTGCAGTTTTACTGAGTGAAATTAGCAAATCCGACCTGAAACTCACCACTTCAAAACTTGACAGCATATAAATAACAAAAACAAAGGAGATTTCCTTTGCAGCCCGGGTTCTTGAAGTGAAGTTTAAGACTGATGTTTTCTATGTCCTTTAAAAAAAAAAAAAAAAAAAAAAAAAACCAAACCAGCAGACCTGAAGGCGACTTCCCCTGAAATTGTATTATTTTCTCTTCCCTTACCCCCTCCCTAAACGGGAGAAGGGCAGGAATAAATGTCTACAAGAGTAGCCATGGGAAGGGGGGGGAGGTTTATTAAAAAATCACAATTCGAAAAACAACATGTATGGTTTGTAAAATGTCTAACCTCAGAGAACCGAGTTTCGACGGGGGAGGAGGGGAGAGTGGGAAGTAGGGAGGAGGGAGAAGATAAAATTGATCTGACAAGTGATTCGTTGGGGGGAAATCGTAAAAACAAAGCAAAACCCGTTATGAGCTGTGCACTGTGGTGGTGCTGGGGAGGCGAGGTGGTGACTGAGGAAATCTCTTTAAAAAAAAAAAAATCACTGCGGACAAGGTCTCAAGAAAAAAAAAAAAAAAAAATTCCCTCTCCTTCCTCCCTCCCTCCCTCTTGCTCGTTGTGTGAGGACAGAAAGTCTACTTCTGGCTGTCACTTACAATATTATTCTCCAATAACCCCAGAGAACGCAGAGAGGGAAAGGCCACCTCGCTTCTCCTCCATGCGCCCCCACCCCCTCCCGGACAATTGCGACTAATATTAACAAACCTTAAACTTTTCCCCCACAGCCTCGCACCCCCAACAAGGGTATCTACCAGGGGACAGCGAGAGTGAGGGGCCGAGGGTCGCCACGGGAGCCCCGGAAAGGCACTAAGATGCCACTTTTGATTCCGCCCTTGCCGACAACAGCCCTGAGGACCCTCTCCCTGTCCATGGACGCGGGGGCTGCGCGCGTCGGGAGAGGGGGGCGGCGGCGGGGGAGGGGGGGAACAGAAAGGACTGCGGGGAGGGGGAGAGCGCGAGGGGGGGGGACGATCAGAAGGCACCCCAGCCACCTCCACCGCCTCGGCGGCGAAAAACTCCCCGCCCCCTCCCCCAAAAAGTCGCCAAGCTCACACTCAGCCCGAGTCCGAGGTAAACAAGGAGCACCACAATGGCACTAGGACTTAGGGTTGGGGGCGGGGGCAGCAGGAGAGAAAAGGAAAAAAAAAAAAAAAAAAAAAAAGCAGCCCAGAAAGCCGACAAAACTGATCAGGAGTTTCCCGAAATGAAAGAGGGGGAGTGGGCTGCGTCCTCGGGAGTCGCCCTGGCTTTATGCTCGGTCCCCGGGCAGGATAGAGGGCGGCTGTTGCTGTTGTTGTTGTGACGAGGCCGGGTGTTGCTGGGTGGCACAGGGAGAGGTGTGTGTGCGCGTTTGTGTGTGCGTGCGTGTGAGCGCGAGTCCCCGGACGGGGCTGCTCCTCTCTCTCTCTACTCTTTTTCCTCTCTCTCTCTCCCTCGCTCGCTCTTCCCCTCGCTGCCGTCTCTGCCCCCATTAAATTATTAGTTGACTCATCCCGGCCGCTGTCGCCGCCGCCGCCGTGCCCAGCTCGGCTCCGCGCGTCCGCCCGGGCTGCAGCCCCGTCCGCCGCTGCGCCTGGTGCTGCTGCTGCTGCTGCTGCCACCGCCGCCGCCGCTGTGGCTGCCTCTTCTTCCTCCTCCTCATTTTAATACAAAATCACCCCGCTCGCAGCCGCAGCCCCGAGCACGCAGCCTCCTCCCGGCCGCCCGCCGCCGCCCGGAGCCTTCCCCAGCGGGGCCGGCTCATCCGCCGCGTCCGGGGAGCGGGAGCGAGCGAGCGAGCGAGTGGCGGCGGCAGCGGCGGCGGCGGAGGGGGAGGGAGAGGAGGAGGAGGAGGAGGAGGAAGGGGTGCGGAGCGGAGGAGGAAGGCGGCCGGGGTGGGGTGGGGGGGTGGAGTGGGGGAGCAGGGTGCACGGAACGGGGCGGAGAAGGGATGGGGATTAAAACCCGGGCTGGAAGGGCCAGGATTGGGGGAAGGGGGGTGGGGGCGGTGGTGTCAAAAAGAAAAAAAAGCCGAAAACCCAGAAAGTAGTGAATGAGTGAGGGAGGTGGAGAGCGCACGGCTTCCGGCCCCGGGCGCGCACGAATTTATAATGAGCTTGATTAGAGTGAGGCGGCCCGACATTTATTACACACAATACCCAGAATAACAGGGCGCTGCGCGAGGGCTCGCGCTGGCCGCCAGGCGTGCCGGGGAGAGCGCGAGGGGAGGAGGCGACGGGGGCTTCCCTGGCAGCGGCCGCCGAGCGAACGAGGGCGCGAGAGAGAGACAGAGAGAGAGAGGAGAGAGAGAGGGAGAGAGAGGGGAAAGCGAGCGCGAGCCAGACCGAGCGGGAGGGGAGGGGAGCGCGCGGCGCGGCGCGCGGGCGGCGAGGGCAGGTGTGCGGGTGGGAGCCGGAGGGAGGAGGGGCAGAACTAGCAAGGGGAGGGGATGGGGAAGGAAAGTGGTGGGGGGAAGGGGGCGAGGGCCGGCGTGTGTGGGTTGGGGGGTGAAACTAACCAACAACCCTCCCGCCACAAAAGCCACAAAAAGGAATACTCCGCGAGCGTCGCAGGCGGGCACCGGAGGGACAGGCGCGGTAGAGGGGGTAGGAGGGGGACACTAGCCCCGCGGGACAGGGGCCTGCGCCTTGCAAGTGACCGGCGCAGAGAACCGTGGAGGGCAGACCTCAGGAAGTGTCTGAGGGGACAGCGCGGGGTTGGAGATCTTCGGGGAAGCGCAGAGGGTGCAGAACCATTTTCAGAGCAATAAAGGCCAGGGGCCTCGAAATGCTCTCCCAAATATTTATTCTCAAGGGGGGTGGTCCCTAAACTACTTAGAGTCAAGATTAAAAACAATGGAGTAGGAGCTTTCTGTACAAGTCACAGCCATAGAACACTTTGGAGGAAGAAATTCGCGGCCCGTAGTGGTGGAGTTAAACAAAATTTGGGTCACTTGAAAAAAACACACCTGACTTGTTATTGCAGAGGAAAAGATAGATGTCATCCTTCAAATGATTTACTCTGGGTGAAAGAAAGGAAAGTTTGGATTGGTAAATACATCTTTGTATCAATAAATACTGTGCTGTAATCTAGAATAAGTTTCCCTGTTAGATCAATGGACATTACCACGTATCTTATTTACATAAACAAATAAAATTCATATAAAAATAAAGGACATTACATCTCACCCAAAATAGAAATGCATCGTTAGGTTTTAGTACCACCATTTTAGCACTCTTAAGGCAGTTAACTATAAACAAGAACAAAATGTTATAAGAATTCTTGTGCAGAATACACTAGTATGGAAAAGAGAAAAATCGGTCAGATAAACATTTTGTTACACATTAAAAAGCAACAAGTTAGCACAAGTACTGAGATAAGAGGGAAATATGCAAATTAAGCTTTTTAAAGCTACCAATACACTCTTAGACACACACTGTTTACACTAGAAATCTAAGAAAAAGCAGAAGGTAAAGAAAAAGATAAAGTTAGGAAATTATGGCCTCCTGGGAGAGGACAAGTTTAGGAGAAACACAATGAAAATAGATCACTCTTATAGCACCCAAGTTTCACCCACAAACCGGAAAGGTTAGTCACACTCAAGGAAGGCAACCTTGAATTTTTTGGCACACATAAACCAGAGCCTTGAGCAAAAGAAAGGATATGTGATACACGCAACACACAGCATCCTAAACAAAAAACTAAATTTAAGGCAATCTTCTCTAAAAAGCCTACTTCATTTAAAAAAGTTGACATGAAGAGAAATATGGAGAATGCTACTTTAAAGTATAAGAAAAGATGATCAATAAGGAAATACACAAATATGGCAAAATGAAGCACGTGTGGGGAAGCTTGCATTATGGATGGAGGTGAAACTTATTTTAAAAGATTTTTTGATATTTAAAAGAAAATGAGATCATTATCTCTATAATGACAATGTTTTTCAATTTGAAATTTCCAACATAGATATTTCAAAAGCTGTTTAAACACCTGACATGTTTCACTGAAACCTAAGTTGTTTTCAGCAGGGACAGTGCAGTCTAGTACGTTGGATGCATTTACAAACAATTTTTAAAAAAGGTTTTTAAAGAAAAATTAGACTACAAAAGAATGTGATTTGCAGTGCAACTTCACCTTGAGTATCAAAATTTTTAAAATGATGAGAAAATTAAAACAAAGGTGTTGGGCAAAATAAAGTTTTAGCTAACAGAAAAACACTTTAAAAGGTACTAAAAATATCAATACTAACACACAATGGGATGAAATATTGTAAATGTTTGTCCAATCATTTTACACAGATAAGACAAAATGCCTCCTGATTGCCTTAGTGTCCTAATGACCTGACCTATGCTAATGTAACATGGGAGTTAATAGTCTTTAAGTTTTTTATCCAGAAATCACAAATCTATTCATAAACGTGTAACATAAGTGTGTAATAAGGACTGACATGGCCTTGAAAATGATAAATAGAATAAAGGAGCAATAAAGGCACCTAATAATGACTTAATTGTAAAGAGTAACAATATGGCATAATCATGACTCTATCAATCCCATATACACATTAATTTCCCCTAAAGCACATTCTTTTTTCTAGAACTATAGGATTATAAGAAATGGCATAGATAAAATGGCACACAGAGGCTTATCCCCTAGTGATACACTACATTGATAAATGAATTACTACATTATCTTCCCTTTTAGAATATTTATTACAGCCACTGAGTACTGGACAGTGTAAACTTAGATCAAAATAAACAAGAAAAAAGATAATTAGGGAAAATACTACCCTATACATGTTAGCCTAAATATCATGGTGAAAGGGAAAAACATCAATTGTTTCTACACAGGCATCATGTATTTAGACATAATGATGCCAAGTATTGAAAAAAGTTAAAACAAAATAAACTTTAGAAATCTTGCTATCAAAGTAGAAAACTTCAAGGAACATGAAATATTGCAACTCAGATGCATGAACTATTTAATATGTGGACATACAGTTAAAACAGAGTGCACCATTCTTCTCTCACATGAGAAGGCATTCCTACTGGCTATACAAAGGAAGCAAAGATAAAATATTATAACAGATAAAAAGATTTTTTAAAACTTAGTGAAAGGACTACTGCATGTTTCAGATGGCAACATATTAAGATAAATATGCAGGCAGATATCCCAAAGCATTAAAACACATTCAGAGTTCTGAATAGCACATACATTTGTAATAAACAGAGAAAGCATTTAGAATTCAAATGCTTTTAAGATACAGCAACTCCGCCAGTGACTGTTAGTAAAGCAATGCTTTACTAACAGTTTCTAAGGACATGGGTTTGTTTTGTTTTTCAACTTTTTTAATTCAAATATAGTTGGCTATCTCTCTATACTCCTACAGCAGCACAATTTATGTAGCATATTGCTCTTTTTTTGTCATGTCAACTCTTTGTTTTTTTGGCTTTAGCTGCAGGTGGTGTTTTCCATGTATGAATTTCTGGGAATATGGTCTGTGTTGGCCATATAAGGATGTCTATTCAAGCCATATGTTTTGCTGTCATGTGTTTCATTTTGTCTGTCTGGGATGTCAGTACGGATTTCCACATCGTTTTTTGAATGGACCAGATACCAGTATGTAAGAGCAGGGAGGAAATGCTGGGGCTGCAGCCCAAACAACTTTTGTGAAAACATGTATTGGAGAGGAAATGCAATATCCTGTAAACATTTTCACCCTCTTATCACACATTATCTATGACCGATATCATCACAACCGTTCACAGTGTAAGAAAGAATTTACTTGTCAAGTTCAGAAGTTTGCAGTGTATGCATCTAGCTTCCTTAGGCAGATCCCACATCTTTGGAGGTCAGGACATAGCATATGCTAGCTGCCTTACTTTGAGAGCTGCGGGTCATGTAGCCAACCTGACCCAGACTTGAACCTGGGGAAGTTCAAGAATGCCGCCTCATGCTTTTCTCTTACTAAACTTTCTGACTAATCCCACAAGATGTTCTGGCCCCCAATATAGCTTTCATAGCATCTTTCATTTCTCCATTGGAATAGTCCTCACAGTCTTAAATCAATTAACAATTTGAATAATCATTAGTTGAATAAATATCTCCCTTATTAGACCACAAGTCCTTTGAATGCAGAAGTCTCTGTTCGCTG